TTAAATGATTTAATGGTGCTAAAACAGTTGAAAAATTTGGAATAAACTTGCGATACCAGGAAGCAGTTCCTATAAAACGACGAATTTCTTTAACATTGGCTGGACTAGGTACTTTCAAAATAGCCTCAACCTTTTCTGGGTCAGGATGAAGTCCTTTCTCATCAACAACATAACCTAAATACTTTAGCTGAGGTAAACAAAAATTACATTTTTCCAAACTAACTACTAAACCTGCATTATGTAACCGATCCAACACAGTTCCTAAAATTTTTAAATGAGTATCAAAATCCTGAGAAATGATCACCACATCATCAAGATAAACAAAAACAAAAGGTTGTAAATCTACACCCAAAACATTATCTATAATTCTTTGCCATGTTGCAGGAGCATTTGATAAGCCAAAAGGCATCCTTGTAAACTGATATAACCCCCTCCCCGGAACCGTAAAAGCTGTAAATTCCTTAGAATTTTGATTTAATGGTATTTGAAAATAAGCTGATTTAATATCTAATGAACTTAAGTATTGAGCATCTCTTAATTGTTCTAAAATTGACGAAATATAAGGAATTGGATAAGCATCCTTTTTAGTTACATTATTTAACTGCCTAAAATCTATGCAAAACCTAAATTTTCCGTTCTTTTTCTGAACCAGACAAACCGGAGACGACCAAGCAGACTTAGATGGTTCTATTATACCATCCCTCAACATAGTTTCAATTTCTTCGTCAATTATTTTCTGCCTAAATGGGCTTACGGGGTAATATCTTTGTTTAATAGGTTTAGTACCAGGCAAAATCTCTATTTCATGGCTATCTAATTTACAAAAACCCAAATTTGGACCCATAGCATCAAGCTTCTCTTTAACTAAAGAATCTAAACGTAATTTTTGTTCTAGATTTAAATTTGAATGTCCCACAATTCCATTCCCAGACTTAATATCTACTAAATCTACTCTATTTACAAAATGCCATATATCCTGTCTCAGATCAGGTATAATGTTCATTGATTTCCAAAAATCAATTCCTAAAATTAATACTTGGGAAATATCTGGTATAACTAAAATATCTATTAAATGAATTTTATCTAATAATGACACTGGAGTAGTGACATATCCTAAACTAATACAATTTTGGCCATTGGCTACTGTGCATTCAGTAGTCAGGGGCGTTAAAGATAAACCAAAACTTTTTAAAATTCTAAAACCCTCATTATTAACTAAAGTTCTTGAACTACCACTATCTAAAAGTCCTAACATTTTATAACCTAAAATTTTTATCTCCAAATAGGGACGTTGGTCATTTTTTGCATGAGAAATAATGTAATCTAATAAAATACTTTGTGGAAAATCATTTGACTTGGTGGATTGCAAATTAAAGGAGGGTAACCTACCACCTAATGGTCCCTCCGATCCCAGTTTCCCGAATTATTACATTTTGGACAATTTCTTACAGTTACTCTAGGAGTACCACATTTAAAACAATGAACCGTACGAGGTTCAGTACAAAATTTACTTAAATGCCCTGGTTTGTGGCAATTGAAACAAGTAATTGTATTTACCGCATGAACTATGGGCTTATTACCCTTTGATCTAGAAGGAGTGTAAGCAAACTCACTATCTACAAAACAATTTCCCTTTTTAGTAGGAGGCACATAATTGTCAACTCTAAACTTTTTAGTTTCTAACTTTAAACATTCAATTTCCAATTCCTGCAAATTATTAACCTGAGGTAATTGAGATGTATAAAATGGTGCTAAATTCCTAACAATAATATCTAACTGCATCGAATCTGACATATTACCATAACGTCTAAACATAGATTTCATACAATTTAAATAATCAATTATACTTTCATTTACATCCTGAGTTCTATGTAAAATATTTTCAAAAAGCCGAGGGCGGTAATCAGGTGAAGAATAATGAGCAATAAGAAGTTGTGATAATTCATTCCAATTATTAAATCTAGACCTATTATTAATAAACCAACTGCGAGCTTTATAATCAAAAAGTTCATAAGCACTTTCAAAAAGTTCTTGTTCTGATACTCGACGAGCTATTCTTAATTCTGAAATTCTATCTAAAAATTCATAAACCGATAAATCATCACAATCACCAGTAAATCTAACATTCCATTTATAAATTGGAAGTGATTTCTGTGAATTAAAATTAGCTGAATTATTTAATTGAGAAGCTATATTCATAGTGGCAGGAGTTTGATTACAATTACTAGTGCCTGCTAAAATATCATTAATATTGGTCAATGAATTATTTGTCCCCAATACAGACTGATTATTATCTGACATATGAGTAGACATTGGATTAGAATCACCTACAACTTGCGAAGTCTGACCTTTCACTGAAGGTGGAGTCGAAACACGTGATTCACTTAATTGTAAATTGTCAAACAAATGGCTTAAATTAGGATCAGCGCGAGAAATTTCCTCTAATTTATCTAATGTTGCCAAAATCGAAGCTAAAAGTGAAGTTCTAGAACTTACATTTTGATCATCCGTTTCCAAACGGTTACAACGATTAAGCAAGTGAACTAATCTACTCTGAATTCTCTCAAATTTTGTTTTAGACTTATCTCCTGCAATATTTTTTATAGCTGAATTCAAATCTTTAAGTTTCTGACTAATAATTGTATGTTCCTCCTCATAATTTAAATCTACAACTGGACCCTTTAAAATTTGACCCTCTTTTTCTAATTTAATTAATGGTCGTAACCAAGACCTAAGATCCTCTACCGTATTGGAATCCTCTGATGGAATGCCTCGAAGAGAGAGTTCATATTGTAACTCATCCTTCTTTAAATAACCAATTATCATTTTATAATCCATGTTGAGAAATGATAAAATACACCTCCAAATCCCAAAATGCAAATCCACAACAAAAAGATACCTACACCTTATTATTATAATACAAAAAGTGGTTCAAGGTAAATCAATAAATCAGGGTAATTTAATAGAGTTGATATTTAAAAATGTCAAATTTATATCCAAAAATGTCAAATTTATATTCAAATTTGCAATTTATTTATTATTCTTTAACCATGATAGTTAAGTGTTCATTCAATATATAATAAATATATCAAAATATTACATTTAATGTTTTGATAACACAAAAAAAAAATTGAAATTAAGTACTGTTTCTCCACAGAACCGAGCACTGGTAAACTAAACTAAACAAAAAAAGTATGAAACTTTATATGTTAGGTAAGTACTATAATAAATACTCGACAATAATAAATTAAGCAGCAATAGAAATTACAAAAAAAAAACTAAAATGTTGCAAAACCTAACCAGTTTGCCAAAATTACACTTGACTGCTAAATGTCAATAAATTACTAATGTAAATTACCAAGTTAAGCTGCTAATGTTAAGACTGCCAATATAACGACCAAGTAACTAACACTTTAGGCTGCCAATAACATACCTGCCAATGTCAATTACCTAATCACCACGTTGGGCTGCCACTGTTACGAGTTTCTCTAATTTTTACCTGTTACTAATTATAAAAATTATTAAATAAATTCGGTTGCCTATTGCCTGGTAGTTCACTCGTAATTACCCCTGCTAGCTCATCAGTCAGGTGGGGTTTCATAAATTTATAACGCGCCAGGAATTTAATTAGGCCAACTCAAATCCCAAGATCCCTCGTTGTCAAGAGAATAGGCAACACAAAATATATCAATGAATATATGAATAAGAATTGGTAATAAAATCTCTAGTTTTTAATGAACGAAATTAATTTGGTATCTCAAAGCAAAATTTACTAATGCTTCTGGAAGCAGTGGAGAATCAGTAATTATAATAAAAGTAAACGCTTACCTTGTATAGTCCAGTGTTCTACTGGACACTACAGGATCCTAGATGCAATGATAAACGACAATGTGTTGTTACTGGGTTTTATTCAAAAAAGGTACATTGGCTACAACATCTAACCCTTGGGGTTATCAAGGCACTCCGTTTGTTCGAACAAAGGGGGGCGGTGTTTACAGAGTAGATACAACTAGCTAGAAAGAAATAAATTAAAACATATCGCACCCTTGCTATAAAAGTGACACAACTCAAAAAAACAGTTTTTGAGTTATGTGACAAAAACTATTTTTTTTCTTTACGAATATTTTTTACAAAGTTTTATGGTTTAGGCTAAAACTAGAAATGTTGACAATCTTGTGAAATCGTGTTATAATTTCTTCCAGGAGAGTATGTCGTCAATATTGGCTCCTTTTTAATTGTGTCACTTTAGGTGTTTTAGTCAGTTATCAGTGCTGGAATTATTTTAAAATGTGACACTTTAGTAGAACAATAAATCGGAATTTAAGGATTATGCCATTTTTGCAGAAAAGTCTTGTAGTAAAAAAAAACAAAAGTATGAAATGTGACATTTTTTATTACAAAAATAATGCCCAAGATTTTTAACAACATACAGGTATCAAAAATAAAACTCAAATGCACAACTCTATCTTAATATCTTAAATAAAACCAGTATTAGATCTTTGATCAGACTTACAAGAGAAAACTAAAAATATAGCAAAGATGCCTCAAAAAAATTTAACTTATTACCTAATTTAACTATACCTGATTTGAACAGCCATTTTATAATATTGAGTAAGTAACTAAACATAAGAAGAAAGTTCTAAGAAACTTAGAAACATAAAGATTAATTCGTTAATAACTAGGAACCATGTCAAAAATATCAGTCTTAAAATATTTTTAAGTGTCTATAAATTATGAGTTTCAGTGCTTGACAACATGAAAACAAGTAGCTTTGCTCAAATAAAAACTGCTATAGTTCTAGAACATTTCTATAAAATGAATCGTAATACTTTTTCTTAATTATGTTTTTATCAACTAGCTCCTGCAAGTGTCTTTTTTTAATATCGCTTAATGGAATTTTGCTTATATATGCTGAAACTAGCCTGACCGAATCTGTATTGCGCTCTTGAGATCTTGTTTTTTTATTATTGTTCATGTCAACTTTTTTAAATTCGACCTGTTCATAGGAGGTTTTGAAAAAAAATGAATCCGGATGTCGTTTTTTCCACTTTAAGAACCTTTATGTCATGCCAAGTAACCTTCTCTTTTTCTGTGTCCATTGTGAAGTTTTTCCGCCATTCTTCTTGTAATGTTTTTAAATCATAAAAATCTTCGAAGGTGAGTTCATGAACTATGTATGGTGGACCATGTCTTTTTGCAGTTCGAATTAGTGTTGCATATTCATCTGGCACATAAATTGGTCCAGATTTGAGATATTTAGTTATTTGTTTCTCAATAATACTATGTACATTGTCGCCTTCATTTTGAGAATGTCCATGTATCAAGTACTTGTGAGTTATGCTTCGAATTGGGAGCTTATTAACGGCATAAGAATAGGCAGTTAGCACATATTTGTTTTTCTGCTGACCACAGCAATTGTCTGAGTAGAATATAACATCCAAAGGGTTCTCAGAATCAGCATGTTTGTCAACAAGTTGCTTAAGGTAACCAAGTACGCAGCTTCCAATTTCAATTGCTCCACGCTTCCCTTCAGTCTCATTCCAGAAGTAACAATGTACGTCTTTTGCATGTAAGTCGCTGATTGTGAAATTGAAACAATTCAATTTGCTTTTATAATAAAACGACGAAATTTGTCCTCTAGGGACTGGCATTACCGCTTGCAGGTCATATACTGCGACTACTGAACGATTCAAATTCGTTTTATCAGCTTCTTTTTCTAAACGCGAGAGTTTTTTTTCATTTATATGAGCGTTGTAGCTCTCTAGTAATTTTTGTTTTGCCTCGTTGTCAGCATTTTTAAAACTCTCGCAAAAGTCGCATTGATCCTTCTTTGGGATGAAAAAGGATATATTATATTCGCCATTGAAGATGCGATTGAACATTACACTATTAGCAAATGGAAGCTGCTGCCTCTCTCGATCTTCTTTATAATCCCGGTAGAGGTCCGCTAGGTTTTTACTACTATCAATGTACTCTCGGGTAGTCTGAGCCCTTAAATAGTGTGACTCGATTCGGGGTATCGCATTTATAAAAATCCTTACACTTTCTTTAATTTCGGGATTTACGTTGGGCTGGTTTCCATGTTTCCCCCTTTTATCATCAGTTAGAAAGCCTTTCTCAGTCTTTTTTGCCAATGCTGTGCGGATCGGTCTATCGTTAATACTCAGCGTTGCTTTGAAAAAAGTTTTACACACTCTAATGCGATTACCGTCTACCTCAAAATAGAATGCCGAGTTCATATTCCGATAATTTTGTGTACATGAGTAACGGTACTTTGGTTTAATCGGCTCTGTGTGTCTTATGATAAATTCCCTCTGCTTTAGATCAGCAAGCGCCCAGTACCCGGAAAAAATATCTTTTCGAATGTCTTCGTTAATTTTATTACTACACTGGAACCGACATTTTTCGCCACATGACGGGAGCAATTTTTTTTTTGGAAACGTTTTTTTACTTTTTGACAAAGAGACATACGCTTGTCCAGAATTTCTTAGAAATTTGGTTTCTTGAAACTTCCATTTTCCAAAATTAGATTTTCTCTTTTTACCTTTTTTAACTTCTGTTTCGTTTTCGTTTACAACTTCTTGATTAACTGTTTGGTTTTCGCTTTCAACTTCTTGATGGCTTTCTATCGAAGAACTACTACTTTGTGAGCTTTCATTTCCACTAAGGAAATCCGGATCTGCATCCGAGTCATCAACGTCGCTTTCATTGCTATGCATAGGTGAGACATAGTAATTTGTTGTCTTTTTTTGCATTAAATGCAACAATGTAGGACGTTCTGAGCTACATGCAACAGTATAAAAATTACTACATCCAGGTTGAGGATGACTGTGGGTAATATTTTCATTTTTTCTTACTTGTGTGCTGACTGACACTTCGGTTTTGGGCGACTTTGCTTGAGGAACATCTTCGAGTTTATGAGTTGAAGTTTCTCGCAGCTCCTGTAAAGAATAGTTGGCTGTACACACAGGCAATTTACCTTCAGCTATCGTAATTGCTAGAGCTCAATTTTTGAGATAAGGTTCTTACCATTAGAGACGAGTCGGTTTGAGACACAGGCGATACAAATTTATCTGCAGGCCTATGTCTACTGAAAACACCCTCAGGCTCACTAGTCAAGGTTTTTGGTAGTTCCTGTAAAGAATAATCGGCTGGAGACACAAGCAATACAATTTCGAATATCGTAATTGCTTATGATAAAACTGATAGGTACTTACCTCTGGAGTCAAGTCGTCTACAGGCTCATAGCTCTTAAAAACATCTCTAGGCTCATTACTCAGGGTTTCTGGTAGTTCCTGTAAATATTAGTCGGCTGGAGGTACAGGCAATAAATAAACAGATATAGTAATTGCCAGAAGTCAATTTTCGTGATAAGGTACTTACCACTAGAGTCGAATCGGTATGAGACATTGATACAGAAAATACACAAACATCTACCGGCTCCTGACAACTAGAAACACATTCAGTTTCGCTATTCAAGATTTCTGGTAGTTCCTGAAAATAATAGTGTGCTGGAGATAATAAACAATACACCTTCAACTATTTTGATTGCTACAGAAGTATTTTGTTTTTGACTCACTTGTAAACTCGATTCAGTTGGAGACACGGGCAATACAATAGAATCATCTAATTCATGATTGCTAGAAGTAGTTTGTATGTTCTGTTCTAGTGTGTTAAATCGTTGGACTGTAGGAGAATTTTGTGATTTACAATCAGGATTAACATTTCTCAAAATACGAGCAGTCCTGCTTGATATTATATTATTCCAATTCATACTAGGCAGGTACCTTCAAATAACAATAATATCATTATTATTAATTATTCTAATTGATTTGAACTCCAATTTGAACTCCAATGTGCAAACTATCATAACAGTTACTAAGAGTAGCGGAAGAAGTAGCGAAAGAAACTGATTCAACTTATGAAAATAATTGTAATAAGTCATTTAAAAAAATTTGAAGCGTCACGTTCCATTATTTTAATCTTGCCAACCGGCACTAGGTGTATCCTTGACATTTCAATTTTTTCTGACATTATATTTTCATGCCAGACTTTTACCTTAAGTTTCGCTACACATCTAAGGAAAACCCTGTACGAAGCTTCAAAATTATCTGATAACTTTAAGTCAATCCATTGGAACTTTATAGCAAACTTGAGCAACAAAAATGACATAAGTCAAAAGCCTACACATCAAAAGCGACCTTACTCAAAATGTATTTAGATGCTATTGATTATATACTCCAATAAAGTGACACAACTCAAAATGCAACAATTTCAAATACACATTTTAATCTCCAAAAAAGACATAAATCTAAATAATACAGGAATTTTACTTACCGCTTTTCACCAATAACGTCACCACTCAAAATACGACGGTTTTAATGCATTTCAAATAGACCTTCACTCTAGCAGGGACATAGCACTACTAAAGATGATGCCGTTTTCGTGAACGTATAATATGCAGGTTGAATCTGCAAAATCGACATAGACGCCATCTATCGGCTAATTTAAGAGACTGTTTTGATACACTTTTGCTGAACGATAGGAAACTATTTTTATTAGTTATTGGTGACAGTAACTCAAAATTCGTAATTTTTGATTTGTGTCACTTTTGTAGCAGGGGTGCGATATGTTCACAACATTTGTGAGGCGAAAAGTAGTACTTGACTATCACAGTCTGTAATCAAATGATTAAAAGAAATAAAACAACAAATTATTTATAAGAGGACTGTGATGGTCAACCCAACAGAATCTTAAAAACTAAAATCAAAATATACAAATCAAACCCAATAACAATATTTTTTTTGTAACTTAATTAACACTGCCAATTAGGCATCAAAAAAAAGACGGTTTCGCCCAAGAAAACAAGGTTACAATAGAAGATATAAAAGGCTTAGTGCCTCTTACAGGAGCACACATTCTCTACGAGTAGAGGGAATTAAGTTGTATAATGAAGCCTGCACCAGGCAGTACAAAAGGAAAATGATTTAATATTAATATATCGATTGAGTGAACACTTAAAATATATATAAAAAAAATAAACTTAACTTTACTGTCGCCCAATGAACAAGTTAGGTTTCTTAAACAATATCTGGAGCCAGAAGAACTTCTGGGGTCAGACAAAATGCCGGTTGGCACGTGATCGTCTTGGGACCGCTTAAGTCTTCTTGGGGTTCCAGCCACGAGAAGATGAAGTGGAAATACTCCGTTGATGGCAGGTTGTGCAGTGGGCGCTTTACGCAAACCGGGACAGGTTAACGTTACCAGGCCCAAACCATGTTCCATTTGAAGAAAAATGGTAGGTAAAATAACCAATTGCCATAATGGCCACCATGACGCCCAAAACTTCGATGAAGATGGCGGGTGCGGTATCGGGAACATGCGGAGCTCGTTGTCGTTGACCACTAGCAGTCGTATTATTTTTATAAATCCTCCAACTGGAGTGGTTTCCGTGATTCTTTCGAACACAACAAGAATAAAATGAAGAAATGTCTTACTATTTTTAATACACAAACTTGGAAACTTCCACGAATACCAGCTCTAAATCCACAAACTAGTGATGTGATCATTCGAATTAAAAATCCTCGGTAATCCGAGTATCAAAATCCTCGGTATAATCCGATTATTTGTTCCGAGGATTCATTCGGTTAAATATTCGTTCGGATCAACCAATGTCTAGAGAAACGAATCGCTGTCAGCTGTCAGTGCACGTCATAACCTCCGATTCGGGTGCGCAAAGCGGGAGTGCGAAACACCTTGTCCAACTGGGGATTGATATAGGGTAGAAAAAAATGAGATAGATTCAGTGAACTATATAATATAATTGATACATTTGGGACGGGACCACATGGGACTCTATTCATTGAATGGGTCAGAAGTTGCATTTTTTAAAATTTGTAATGATTTACAGTGAAATATAATAAAATGTGAAGATTAGTTTATTATTAAATAAATGATTGAAAATAAACATTAAAAAAAAATTAACAAAAACAAAATACAGGAATATATTTGAAAAGCACTATACATATTCGGTAGGTACAATCGTTCGATTTAAAACTAATCTTTCTTTGGTATGTAATTTATGCACATAGGTATATCACAACAAAACTAATAAACAAGTACATATTAGGTAGGCACAATCGATCGATTTAAAAACTAATCTTTCTTTGGTATGTAAGTAATGCACATATATCACAACAAAACTAATAAACCTAAAAATAAAAATATATACCCTGTTAATGAGTAAAACTAAGTTAAAAAAAAATAAATGAAACTTTGGCAAACAAAACAATAATAATTTTAAATCTAGATAACGAGAGAAAAGCAAGCTTTAAAACTGAGAATTTAAAAATATAATCTGATCCAGGTTTTTTGGAGAAAGTCTATTTCTTCTAGAATTAGTTAGCTGTCCGGCTTTGGAAAAAACTCTTTCGGATGGCACAGAAGTTGCTGGAATACTTAAGTATTTTAAAGCTAAATCGTATAGCTCTGCAAAACTAAGTTTATGTTTGGCCCAAAATTCTAGGAAAGGATCTTTTTTTCGGTCTAATATTTCCATTTCTAAATACTGCCTAATTGTTATCATACCCATACTAGCCGGAGTTGAATATGTCTTTACCGCTGACATTTTTTTGTCAAAATGAGCCCAAATGTTAGGCAAAATATTTTCTTCCTGTTCTTCTGCTTGAGGTTGTTGACTCGACTGAATATTGAATGTCTGATTTTTTTTAAGGGCAAACATTAGCTTTAATTCCTCTGATACCCATTTTTCTGCACTATTAGCATTTTCCTCATTACCGAAAGCCAACTTCTTGAATCGCGGGTCCATGAATGACGCTTTTGCTACGATTTTGCTGGTTTCAAATCCACCAAATCGACGATTCATGGTTTCAAGCAATTTTAATTTTAGTGCCGTGCCTACTTCTGTAACCGTATTAATGTTTCTCAAGGTGTACTGAAAGCCTCGAACTAAAGGAATTACCATTGATAAAGTAGGGTAGCTCTGACTAGAAATTATTGTAGTCATATCATCAGCAGATTTTAAGACTTTAATGATTTCATTAATTATGCCCCACTCCTCTACAGTAGGAAACTGAGGTGGTTTCGTCGAACTGGCCAAAGCAACACATAGAGGTTCTTTTATTTCATTTAATCTTTTAAGCATGATAAAGCAGGAGTTCCATCGAGTTGGCACATCTTGCTTGACTTTTAATAGCGGTAGTCGCATTTGCTCCTAAACCGATTTTAGTTTGTCACTTGCCAGGCTACTATGCTTAAAGTGTCCCACCAGATTTCGGCATTTTTTTAAAATAATTTCTAGTGTTTCACTTTTTAAGGAGTCGCTCACTATCAAATTTAATGTATGCGCCACACATGGAACATGGTGTAGTTGAAGGTGTTCTGTAATGGCATTTTTAATATTAGCCCCATTATCCGAAACAATTGCCACTATTTTGTTTTCAATGTCCCATTCACTAAAAAGGTTTTTTAGAGCCGTGCCAATATTTTCTCCGGTATGGGATCCGGGTAGTTCACGTGTTGCTAAAACGCCTGAACACAATACGTCTTCACTCACAAAATGTGCAGTCACTGTAATATAAGCCCTTGTACTATCAGAAGTCCAGATATCTGTTGTGAGTGAAATATATTTCACATTGCTTAAAATGTTTTTTAAGGCTGAGGTTGCTTCTGCGTATTTTTTTGGTAATAGATCATAAGTAATTTTTTTTCGGCTAGGAGGTTTGTATAAAGGTTGCAAAGCTCTTGAATATTCCAAAAATCCTTGATTTTCAACCAAAGACAAGGGTTGATAATCTTTGGTTAGCATATTGATCAAAGCATTATCAATTTGCTTTATTTTTGTTTCCGATATCTCAACATTGCTTTCACCACCATATAATTTTAATTGCTTGGGTCTTTTTCTTGATATGACTTCTGATGTGGATGTATTTACGCCAGAAGGCCCCGAAAGAGAAGTAAATTCTTGTGTTTCTTAAATTTTGTTTGTAATATTAGAAGTTTGAGGCTGTGGTGTTGAGACTTCAGTGACTTCCAAATAACTTTCTTCTTCCGTAGGGGTATCATTTTCGGCGGCAAACTGGATTGGGTGGATTCTAATTAAATGTTGTTTAATATTGCTTGTACCGCCAAAATATTTTAAATCTTTTTTACAAATTTGGCAAGTAACTGTCTTGCCATCAACTTTTTTAAAATATTTCCAAACAATTGACTTCGGACGCATTTTTATCATTTTATCTTTAGTTTAAACAGGGCTGGTATATCTAAGGGGGTCGCGACATAGACCCAGTAAATGGATGAGGGGGGTGACTGAGGCTAGGGGGGAAATAGTAGTCAGCTTAAGTTGGCAACACTTTTCTGATGTTCGTTTGAACGAGCATCGTGCATAATAATGTCAATATGGTACAAGTGGAATGAACCACTGTTTTCCTCGTAGTCCAATGTCGAATTAAAACTAAAAACATTTTGTACTTTTTTATATATCAAATTATGCAATTTGTTTCCACTTTATTTTAATGTTACATGAATAGGTACATGCGTTTGTGCTGTGGTAAATAAGTGTTCATGTGAAAATTATATCTTAAACTACATTGCGACTGCACTCATCTCGAAACTGAATGCTGTAAATCCAGGATTTAAATCTTTCATAGTGTTGCTTGGGATAAATTGTAAAAAAGGTGTTGGACAAAACGTTTACAACCTAAAATTGCATGAAAAACACGATAGAAGAAGGAATTTTACCTTTATGACATTCTC